GTTACAAATCAGTTTCTGGTCAACTTGAGATTTGGTTTGGTTATTCGAGGTGCTGATTCAGAAAACAACATTGGATAGACGACATCAGCAGTAGTTTTGGATACAGAACATATGTAATCCAATAGTCACCATCTGCTTGCCCACAAAAAAAAAAATTAATAATTTAAGAGGGTTTCGCAAGATTGGTCACTCTTGTTGCAATGGTGTAGTAACAATGAGTCTGCAGACCATATTTTAGTTCTTGCGGACCACTGGTGGTCCACGGACCACAGATTGGTCTGTTTTATTGTATCCCTTATGTTTATCTCAATCGCTGTGATTCGCAGTGCATATGGGGAATGTTATTGTCTCTTTCACTGATTAATGAGAATGGTGTACTTGTACATCTTTGCAGATAAATTATGTCAAAGGTCCATATATATTCCCCTTTTTAATCTGCTCTAAAGGAGAAGATCCTTTTATTAGAATTCTGCTCTCTACTGTTTGTGTACAAATTATTCCACCCTATTCCCTTCTTCTAGTATTAGTTTTCCCCAAAAAAATATTTGTCATGTTCTGATTGCTAGTAGTTTAGAAGGGTTTTGCTAAGGGAAACTTTGAATGTAGCCAGTAAATTCTGAGTGTCCGGCTATAATGTTTCCCCTCTGCTGCCTTTGCATCATGTAACTTTTACAAGCTTTTAATTCCCCCTTGCAGGAACAAGATTTCTTTCAGTTTTTCAAGGGGGGAGAAGCAAATGTACTTTGGTAAGATGCCTGAAAAATCAATATTTCAGTGTTGTGCAGCAAGGTTGGAATTCCAGACAGCCTTGCTCAACCTGAGGATGATGGGCCCTCCCAGAGGACCTATCATCCCCAGCAGCATGGCCAAAATTGAGAGACCCCCCCACCCACTGGCCAAATCCCTTCTACACAACTCTTGATGTTTTGCCTTGATGTTTTTACATGAACAGCAAATGGATTTTGCCTCCTTTGCTGCTTCTTCCTGTCCCATTGAAGATGTTTTGATGAAGATGGTCTTCAAGTGCAAAAACCAAACCAGCACAATTATCTTCCAGCGGATTGCTTTCTTCAGATTTGAGCATGTTCGTGTTACTATAGCAACAATCCAACAAGGGACTTCACAGCAAGATGTTTGGCTGGCAGTAATTCAGTATGTGAATTGCAAAGAAATTAATGATGATCAGGCTAGGAGCAACCTGAGAAGAAGAACCTAAGAAGAGATGTTTACCAAAGAAGAGATCTGAACCAAAAAAGAGATCTGAGCAAATAGAGCAGTGGCCCATCCAGTCCTGCATCCTGTTTCATAGGAAGGCCACAAAGATCTATTCAGGAACAACCCACCAACTCTTCCCAGGTAGACTGCCTCTGGATGTGAAGGTTTCCTTTACCTACTACTGTTAACAACCATAGGAGCCCCCAGTGGTGCAGTAGGTTAAACTTTTGTTCTGGCAAGACTGAAGACCGACAGGTAGGAGGTCTGAATCCGGGAAGAACACAGATGAGCTCCCTCTGTCAGCTCCAGCTCCCCATGTGGGGACAGGAGAGAAGCCTCCCACAAGGATGGTAAGACATCAAAACATCTGGGCATCCCCTGGGCAACGTCCTTGCAGATGGCCAATTCTCTCACACCAGAAGCGACTTGCAGTATCTCAAGTCACTCCTGACACGGGAAAAAAATAGCAACCATGATACAGAGTAATTAAAAACAATATAATTAAAATAATATGAGGGAAAGCTTTTACAGTGACATCATTACTGTTTTTATTATATTGTTTTTAACTGTATTGTAACATTTAACATTTAATATTACACGTTCCATTCTATTTTAATGTCAATCTTTACTTTGTTTTTAATTATATAGTACTCCTTTTAACTCATAAGCTGCCTTGGGTCTGTTTAGGGAGAAAAGTCAGCTAAAGGTGTAAATAACTCCTCTCATGATGGTAATGAAGGTAAATAAAGGCCTCAAAGGATGTATTACGCTTATGAATTTAATATTTGTGAGGATGAGCCCTGATATATAAATGTGATATATTTGAACTTAGAAGTGTGGCACTGGAATTTATGAGTTGCTACTGGCCAGACAAGCCTTGTTTGAGGAATCTTCTATACATCAGAGACAGCGGTGATGTTGCCATAGCAGCCACGAAGTGTGCGTGGGGTGATAGTGAACTCTCTCTACAGAAACACACAATTCAATTTAGGTATTTAATAACTGCACAATTCAATTCCATAACAAATGATGGGATCACAAATAGGAATTAAGAGCACTGGAAAATGCAAAGATCATAGAAATTGGTAAATGTATCTGACAAAGACAGCACTAAAATAAAGTTGGCCCTCCACTTATGTGGGTTTTGCTTTCATGAATTTGATTATTTGCGGATTATGTGCTGATGCCTCTGCTGCTGTCCAAAGCCATTTTTAATGTAGACTGCATGCCTCATGCGACTGAGAGAGACTGACAATGTTCAGTGAAGCATGTAAATCCCTATGGCATCCCTATGACCACAGTAATGTTGGTCCCTTGTTATGTATCATGTTCTGCAGTTGATAGTGGTTGGTGGTGCCAGGCCTAGCAGTTGGGGATGGAAGGGTTAATGTAAGTCTTAGTTCTAAAGAGTTGAATAATCTGTAAGTAAGAGTTCATGGGTGAAAGCAATTAAGGGTGGAGGCATGCAAGAGATAGGTTACAACTGGGTATTTCTGGATATAAGGAGCTAGCCTTGGGACTGATCTTCGGGAGAAAAGTATTTGTTTTATCTTGGTGGCAGATGCTGCTGGTTTTCCCCCAAGTTTCTGGATCTTCGGTGTCCTGACCTGTCTCCTAAACTCTTAGAACCCTGGAACCTTGAATCTTTGGACTGGCTTTTGACTACGGTATAGACTCTTGATCCCTGGACTTTGCTCATTGAACTCTCAGTATTTGACCACTGGATTGGACCCTTTTACTACGGTGTAGCATTGGCTATCAGTTTTTGTTTTATATTCTGTGGCTGAATGCTAGCTTTATGTTTTATATTTTGGACTATTAAAACAGCCAGAAAGTAAGTGGTGCTTTAATTAAACTGTTTGGTTCCTTTCTACCTGGGTACAGGCAGAGCCCTGGCATTGTGACACCCCTTTCCCCATCTTCTCCAGATATATTTGTAGTTTTCCCACTTTCTAAGGATTGGCTTCACCCCTAACTCCCATGAAAGTTAAGGGCTGACTACATCAGCAAATGTGGAGGCTCTTCCGTCAGTTAAATATTTGATTTTTTTCCTGAATAAATTCTGACTTAGAAGTTTCTTAAAATATACCCCTCTTTCCACAAAGAAGACTATAATTCCACAAGTGTAGCTATTTCCATTATGAGTGAAGAAGAAAAGCAGACACAGTTATTTGTAAGTACTCAAAATAGGAGTTCCATCAAACTTCTTCCCTCATCCAAAGTGGAAAGCTTAATTGTACAGAGCAATCTTCACAGAAGTGTTATAAAACTGGAAGTGAAAAAGGGAAATGGGATCATTTCCATGCATGAAGACCCCCCATTTCATTAATACTGGAACACAGTTGCTGATCAATACTCTGGCCCAGCTGCAACCAGGGAAGAACTCTAAATCTTCTCCCATAACAGCCCTACATGCCAGGTTCTCGGTTGGATAGCTTTCTTTCCAGTCAAGGCCTGTATTCTCCTATTTATTTATTTATCGTGTCAGGAGCAACCAGACATTTGTATTACATTTTTAACAAAACAAACAAACAAACAGACAGACAAAACACAAAGTTTGCAAGTTTGGTACTTGTATTCCCCCTAGGGCAGTGTTCTCAACCAGTGGGTCCCCAGGTGTTTTGGCCTACTACTCCCAGAAATCCTAGCCAGTTTAGCAGCTGTTAGGAGTTCTGGGAGTTGAAGGCCAAAACATCTGGGGACCCATAGGTTGAGAAGCACTGCTCTAGGGAATGAGCATATGTACCTTAACAGTATACATTACTGCCATGGGCAGAATCTAGGTTAAGAACAAACAAACAAAAAGATCCTGTGGTTTCTCTGTATCCCCAGCTCTTATCTCACTTCCTCCCTCTGTACATCCTGGACTGGGACCTGATCAACATCTTAAATAGAAAAAGCCTAAAATTAAGATCTCAAGAAGCAGCAGCACTTTGGAATAATTGTAACTTAAACTTGGGGATAGCCATTTTCTGAAAGATATCATCTTTCAAGAAGACAAGATCAAGATGTGACCACAGTGGTACATGCCCTACTTAAATACTGTTTGGACCACTGTAATGTGCTCCACAAAGGGCTGCCTTTGAATTGTGATCAGAGACTTCATTTGGTCCAAAGAACACCAGCCAGACTGCTAAATGGAGCTGGCTACAGGGAACGGACAACTCCTCTGTTGCAACAGCTCCACTGGCTGCCAACATGTTTATGGGCACAATTCAAATTGATTTGATCTACAAAGCTCTATACAACTCTGGTCCAGATTATCCGAAGGACCATATCTCATTCTATGAACCTGTCAGAGATCTACGATCTACTGGGGAGAGCCTTCTCTCATTCCCACCACCTGCTCAAGAGCATTTGGTGGAAATGCAGGAGAGGGCATTTTCGGTGGCTGCACCCAGACCATGGAACTCTATCCCAAGAGAGACCAGGATGGCCTCATCTCTGCTGACCTTCCGCAGGCAGGTCAAGACCTTCAGGCTTTTGGGGAAGGGGAAGGGACATGCTGCTAAGGAGGTGTGGGTGGGATTTGAGGATATGTGTGTGTGTTTTAAAGGCTCTTTTAAGTGTACTTACTATATTATAATCTTTTTTTTACCTTAGTCCACACGGTATTATTTAATTTATTTTATTTTTTGTATTTACTTTATTTTAAATTGTTTAAAGGATATGATTCTTAGCTGCCTTGAGCTCTGCCGGGGAGAAACGTGGGATAGAAATAGAGTAAATACATAATCACATATGATTGACTTGGGAATGATCTAAGGCAGGCAATGCATAAGGAGTCAGGATATGCATTTTATTTTAATGCAACACTCTCTTGTTTTTTATTAGCATTATACAAAAAAGAAATTTTGCATATAAAATGGTTATTCCTTCTGCGATTTGGAAGAACACCCACACTTTTCATTTTCAATACTACAGCTTTATGACACCAGCAGGACTGTACTGAAAACAATCATATACCTGAGTTAACCATTAAATATAACATCATACTATATTGCTACAATAGGAAGACTTTTACAGTAATGAAGTTGTAATTTTTTAAAATGTCTCTGGTGCCTATGTAGCCAAAGTAATCAGTTGAATGAATGCTACTAAATCGGATCTGATGGAGGTCATAATGGAAATCTATTCAACACACGTGAACTATGCTACCTTGTTTATATCTAAAATTTAAATTTTACATAGTAGCAAAAATAAATACAATTTCAAAGCAAAATATAAAATTATCTCCCTCAAAAGGTGGGAATTCAAGTACTTGAAAAGAATACAGTATTCATGCATAACACTTCCCTCCAAGAATTCCAATTTTAAAAAATACTGTATTAGTGAAGTGAGCAAAATGGAGTCCTGATGTTGTAATTTTTTTAGGCTGTAAAACAATGTATTTCTTTACTGGCGTGTCCAAGATCTTGCAAAAACCTGAAATGAAAACAAATAACATGAATAGCTACTGGTTGAGAAGAAGAAAGGTATTATTATGCAGCAAGCTCTAAAATGGAATAGTTGGTTTGTGCCACAAAGCTATCAAGTATTAATTGTTAACATCACATTAGCCCCCAAATTAAACAGTATTGAACTAAGTCTCCCAGAGTCTCAGTCTTTAAAATGTATAAGAATAAATGCATTTTCCAAGTATTTTTCTGTGCAGCTAGTTTGCCATATTCCACACATATAGCTGAAGTACTTTGTCAATATATATTTATAATAAACACAATTCAAACCACTTCATTCACACTTTATTCTAATTCGAACTTCATTTGCCCTGAGGGAGAGTTTAGGAAGTTACCACTACAACTATTAATTATAGACTAAAGTCAAAGTAAAGGTAAAGGTTTCCCCTCGAGATGAAGTCTAGTTGTTTCTGACTCCGGGAGGTGGGGGGGGGGGGTTGGTGCTCATCTCCATTTCTAAGCCAAAGAGCCTGCACTGTCCGTAGACACCTCCAAGGTCATGTGGATCAGCATGATTGGATGGAGTGCTGTTACCTTCCTGCCGGAACAATAATTATTGATCTACTCACATTTTCATGTTTTTGGACTGCTAGATTGGCAGAAGCTGGGGCTAACAATGGGAGTTCACTCCGCTCCCTGGATTTGAACTGCTGACCTTTCAGTCAGCAAGTTCAGCAGCTCAGCAGTTTAACCCACTGCACCACTGGGGACTGAAGTCAAAAGTCTACATATATTCCCTTCTTGCTCATCTCTTCTCAGACACTGAAGCCTCTTGTTTTCCTAGCTTAGTGCACACCAGTCATTATTCATCACACTCAAGAGTATCAGGTCTGAATGTTAGTGTCTAGGTTGATACAGTCCAATAGAAATGTATATGCCACTTGCCCAACATTCTGATGACAGAAAAAATAAGCATGATAGTCTGCTTTCAACTTCAAAAGATATCATATGACAAGCCATTATTTCTCCCTTTCACTTACTGTATTCCTTGTTCCACAAAAGCTAGTGGACCACAGGTGCATATTAATATTTTAGAATCACATTTACTTCTTTTCACAAACTGGGAAAGGAGAGAAGAAGAAATCCTTCCTTGTTTGCCTAGCCAACTTTCCTTTGGCTCCGAAAGAACAAACTGAATGTCAAACCTGAGAGAAAGAGAGAGGTTAAGATGCAGATTGGCATTTCTCTTTTTGTCGTTTCTACCATCATCTATTAGAATACATTTTTCTGAGTTTACTCAGTTGTAAATTAAAATAGTAGACACAAGTAGAAATAAGAAAATTGAAATAGCATCCTGATCTTTTAAGGATTTATGTACTAGTACATATATATTGATCTGCAGTGCTATTTGTCTGCATAACATGGCAACAACAGGTTGTACCAAGTTGCCCTCCTTTTCCGAAAGCATCTGAGTGCCAATGAAGACAAATTACTGGAGTAAGGTAGAGCATATTTTCATTGATTTCCCCCTTCCATTGTATACAACTTCCCACACCATGTTTCAAGGGTCCTTCCATCCAGGTTCAAGCTTCTTAATGAAGAATGAAGAACTAGAACATTTCCCTCTTTGCTTAATGAGCAAGACCATTTTGTATCATGGAAGATCTGGATCCAAGCTAATAAGATTAATAATGTGTTTTTTTCCTCCTGGAAGCATGAACAGCCTGATTTCTAACATGGTCTATTAGCATAGCTAGTCACTGATTTCAGGTGCCAATAGTATCACGCACAGCATCACACGAGGTGTTAATTGACCCCTCCCCAATGTAATATATGTCACCCTCTGCAGTCTACATGGAACACATTTCTGCACAAGAGGATAAATGAATGCAAAATCCATCCACAGAAATGAAAATACACCCAAATTGGTTGCAGAGCATTTCAGACTTCCTGGACATCAGTCTCTGGAGCAATTTTCAACAGAAAATTGTAAAGAGAAACAGATGAACCATAAATTATACAAAAACAGCAGCCCATTTGCAGTATGAAAGAGGCAACAGTTTATTTGCGCACTACATTTAAGGGTTTTCTTACACATCATGTATAAATATGTGACGAGAAGACATAGGGAGGAGGGAGCAGGCTTGTTTTCTGCTGCCTTGGAGACTAGGATGTGGAATAATGGCTTTGAATTACAGGAAAGGAGATTCCACCTGAACACAAGGAAGAACTTCCTAACTGTGAGAGCTGTTTCGCAGTGGAACTCTCTGCCCAGAGTGTGGTGGAGGCTCCATCTTTGGAGGCTTTTAAACAGAGGCTGGGTGGCCATCTGTTGGGGGTGCTTTGAATGCGATTTTCCTGCTTCTTGGCAGGGGGTTGGACTGAATGGCCCATGAGGTCTCTTCCAACTCAATGATTCTATGATCTTGCTTCAAAGAAACTGACTTCTGGGTAAGCAGAACATTCTGTTTTTCATATCTCAAAGTTACTTTACAGACCTGTATATCTTTGACTATTCATTCCCAATGTCTTAATTTGCATCATTCTATTTCCCATTACACTCCGATCCCATTCCAACAACTGTGTAACCACTTGTGGTGTTAATACTATGCGTCATCAATACAGTTGAACAAATGGACTGAAATCCATGCAAATTCAGGCCAAAATAAATCAGTCTCAGAAGTGGTTCAAGATTCTCTTCCTATGCCATAACAGATCAATATTCCTGGCTCTTTTCAGTAGGAAATAACTCAGCATGTTATATTCCTGAACTCCAGAAAGAGTAACAACTGATGAGTAAACAATTCCTTTATTTTATTTTATTTTATTTTTTAAAAAACCCTACAATTCCCAAGCTCCGCTCTTGACCATCCAAGCAAACTGGGGCCTCACTTTGGTTGAGTGCGAGGGCTAGTTGGCATCTTACCTCAGGACAATCCACCACTTATTTCAAGGGAGTCCCAAAATGCCACAGGAGAAAAAGACAGGAAATCCTATCTTGCACAGTGTGTGCCTTCACTGATTTTGGAAAGACTGAAACTTACAGTGCCTTCAGAGTTTTCCCTGTTTTTGATATCAGAAAAATAGTTCCAATATTATGAATTGTACAAATGCTCTGAACAAGGAAAGAGACACCGAGTTGAAAGGAAACTCAATTATAGGCAAAAGCATATATTTCTTGTCAAAGTCAATGAGAAAGATCAAATGGTTCCAGCCCACCTTACCTGTCCAAATGTACCTCCCTCTATGAACCAGCTAGGAGGTTAAGATCATCCAGGGAGGCCCTGCTCTTGGTCCCACCTCCTTAGCAGGTATGACTGGTAGGGAAGGGAAACAGGGCCTTCTCAGTGGTGTCCCCTTGTCTATGGAACTCCCTCCCCAATGAAAATAGATCAGCCCCTTCTCTCCTGAACTTCCGGAAAAAACTTAAGACATGGCTTTGGGACCAAGCTTTTGACAAGTAATTGGAGCAGTGCAATAAGTGATCATGAATCAATGTGACTGACAAATGGAATGGCCCTGGATTATGACTTTGATGGCGTGATTTTAACTGTTGTTTAATGATTGATGTTTTGTTTGGTTTTAATTGCAATTGTTTGTTTTAATATATGTGTGTATGGCATTAAATTGCTGCCTATTGTAAGGCCACTTTGAGCCTCCTCCAGGGTGAGAAGAGCGGGGTATAAATATGAATAAATAAATAAATAAATTTCCTTGTGGTTTGCCATTACTGGCAGATAGGTAGTCACACTTGTCAGCTGCATCTAATTTTATAAATGCCTAAATACTAGAGTAGAAAAGCTTTTTACATAGTCCCCTCTGTATCCCAAAATTATCAAATGTCTCTTTATCAAACTGAAATGGGACACTGGTCAGAGCAGCAAATGTAACTTTAAGTCAGATTAATAATAAATAAACAAACAGCCACAGCCAAAAAATATGACATTGACAATTCACTGAAATAGATTGAGAGGCTAAAAGGAAGATATTTTCTTGTAGTTTCAGAACTTAATAAAGTATGGGAGTAAAAATGGAAAGTGATGTAAATGGAGAGTGGGTGTTTGAGTTTAAAACTTCATTGGCAAATTCCTTAGGCTGTTTTGAAGCTGGCCAATATTGCCCAATAATATTTATTTGCAAAGGTTTCTATAGTATCTTGCACATGCAACAAGAACACACTCTTCTTTCATCGTCTTTATAAAATCTGGGAGAAAGCTGACTCTTTCTTTGAAACATGTTACTGTTTCCCCCCAAATACCCAGCAATCCTATCCACCTGACGATGGAAAGTTAGAAGGCCAAATAGCTAAGTTATGTGTTATGTCAACTGTCACCTCAGGTTCATCATATAAGAACGACACAAACCTTCATAGATCAATTTCTGAACATCATTACCTTGCATCATTAAGGGCTAATTGCTCCAGTTGACTTCTCCAAAGTATATCATCTTCCGTTTTGTTGAAGAACATCAACTTTGCTATCCTAAAAAAATAAATTACAGCTTCAATTTTTACATTCACTACTATTAGATATATGTTGCACAAGGTCATACTGACTAATGCAGCTCCTGACACTGCTTGGAATGCATTTTAGCTGTACCAAAACACGTGTGGGAAAGACTCATACAGATGCATGATCAAGAAAAGTGTTTCAGAGAAGACATGAAGGGACGGTTCCAACTACGTGGCTCTTCATATTTGCTTGTCGCTACTTTGTTTTCGACCACCTACACACCCTCTTTTTCATTTCAAGCAGAACCATCACATGCACCTATCTACTATTGTTTATCTTCTCCCTTTCCTGAGAGAGAAAGAGAACATTTTAGGAGTGGGCAGACCCCGCCAGCTTATTTTGTTTCCCTCCAAATGGCAAGAGATGGAAAAGGCTGATTCACCAACTGCATGATTATGCACAGTGTGGTAACACAAGGGGACCCAAGACAGCATGAGTGCCTACCTTTTCCAAAAGGAGATCTCACCTCCAAATTCTTTGCCCAACTAGCTTTCTGTCTAATTTATTTTCTTTATTTAATTTATTTTTAAGATTCTGCCTTTCATGTGTATCTCAAAGCAGCAAACTATGGAGTCAACAATTTAAAATATAGTATTACCCTCATATCTGTGGTAGATATGTCCCTGAGCTACTGTGAATAACAGTTAAACCTCCTGAAATGAAATACTTCATCCAAAGGCTACCACTGAGTTGCCCTGGAGGACCTAGAAAAGTTCTAGAGCAGTGGTTCTCAACCGGTGGGTCCCCAGGTGTTTTGGCCTACAACTCCCAGAAATCCCCACCAGTTTATCAGCTGTTAGGATTTCTGGGAGTTGAAGGCCAAAACATCTGGGGACCCACAGGTTGAGAACCACTGCTCTAGAGGGATCCTCTCTAGGAGTTTGCTAGCTTCTCCAGGGTGACTCTATGGTAACTTCTGGCAGAAGTATACCATAGAATCACCTGGAGGATATAGAAAATTCCTTGAGAGGACATATTTTGTCAGATAAAGATAGGTGGAACCACAGGTACAACTTCCCGTGAGTACAGGGCTTGAAAATAGTGCTAACCCATGGGCATATATAAATTGGATAAAAGTCATTGTACTGCCAAGGTTTTAACAAAAAAATATATTAAGCACAATAAGAATCAGCACTAATCAGATTCCCTCTCTTTTCTGTTCCCAAAGTGGCTTGCTCCCACTGGTGGGACACAGAGAAAGTCATTTTCCACAGACACCAATCCTCAGTCAGGCTATTCATAAGGAACAGCATTTCTTCAAGGAGAGTTCCCAAGCTATTAAGGGAAATGTCATCATAAGCACCTTTGAAATGAAATTTATTGGCTGCTAGTACTATTCCTATGTGACACCTATACAATATTTTGACCAGTAATTCAGCAGCAGCATTTTGCACAAGCTGCACTTTCTGAGGCATCTTCCCTGCCTTCTGCATTTTATGATGCTACAGACTAATGCAGTTATCTCTTTGACACCAAACACTTTTCCAGCATATCTGGACAATTCCTTAAGTAATCAGGGAAAAACCTCTTACATAGGCCCTTAAAATTAAACCCATAAGCCAAAAATGTATTGTAAGTCCCAGCTAGAGCACATCCACTAACTAAGTGGAGTTTATGTAAGAGTTTTGAGTGGGCCTACTCTAACTGGATTTAACAACTGACTTTAGCCCATACATTATCAAAATACTGATCTGCCAGTGCACATGTGGTTTGAATGGGATAAACTACCAGTTTAAAGTAGAGCTAAAATGTTCACTTGGAGTAAGAGTAGAAAATTACCTGAGAGTATTGATACTAGTCAAGGCATAGTTCAGGAGTTTAATCATTGGTGTGAATCCCGTGCCTCCTGCCAATAAAAATAGTTCTTCTACCTCTTCAGTTTGCAATGTGGTGAAGTTACCTTCAGGGTTACTCATAGAAATATACTCCCCTGAGAAGAAAAACAAATAGTACAATAAAGGATAAAGAGAAGATAATGCCATTGTTATCTTCAAATGCTCATAATTCTTCAGGACAATACTAAAAAGAGAAACTTCTTGAATAATTTGAAGCCAGATTTCTGTTTGAGCCAAATTAAGATGCCAATTAGAATGCCAATTTTTGAGCTCCTGGTGGCACAATGGGTTAAACCTTTGTGCCGGCGGGACTGCTGATCAAAAGGTTGGCGGTTCGAATCTGGAGAGTGGGCTGAGCTCCCATCCATCAACTCCAGCTTCTCATATGGGGACAAGAGAGAGGCCTCCCACAAGAATGGTGAAACATCAAATATCTGGGCATCTCCTGGACAACGTCCTTGCAGACGGCCAATTCTCTCACACCAGAAGCAACTTGCAGTTTTTCAAGTTGCTCCTAACATGAAATAAAATGTTAATGTGTTTTGAGACCATTATAAAAATTAGAAAGAGGGAAATGCATAATAAGAAGTGGCATAATGTATACAGTCATAAGATACTCTGCTTGAGGGGCAGGGGGAGCAACACTTACCTATTTGCAAAGAGTCGAGCACTGGGGTGAACAGTCCACTGGGGTATATCTTGATCATGAAAAATATGTGTGTCTTATCACTGCAAGAAGGGCTTTTGAATGTCGATACCAAGGACGATGCCACTGGTGTATATGGCTTCACTATCTCAGCATCTAAGCAAACCAAGTGGATGAAAACTGCACATTAGATATTAAAAGAGCTTTAGAAACAATTGGCATGCTAGGAGAAACCCAAGTTGATTGGTATCACTGTAAGGACCAAATTAAGCAGGGCTCTTAAGAACAAACACAGGAAACAAGGCCCCTTTCTGGTTCACGCATAGATCTGCAAAAGAGGTTCGGTTTGTAGCAACAAAGATTGTCTTGACTACTTTTTTCCTTACTGTTTTAGACTTGGAATTTCTATGGACAAAATCTGATCACTTGGGCAGGATCCATTTAGAAAGGCAGGAGATTTGGGATAGCATGTTTATCCTCCGTGTATATTTTCATGTTACTTGTGGCGGTGTAACATATCAACTAGATAGCAGATATCAGTCTGATAGCTTCTAGTCTGATAGAAATATACTCCCCTGAGGCATAGGCAAATTTTGGCCCTCCAGGTGTTTTTGGACTTTAACTCCCACGATTCCTGACAGCCTACCAGCTGTTAGGAACTGTGGGAGTTGAAGTTCAAAACACACGGAGGGTTAAAGTTTGCCCAAAACTGTTTTATACTCTCACCATTGTCATCATGGTTCCCCTTAGCAGAATCAAGCACCAGACAGCAATCAGTTACCAGATCCACCCTTACCATTTTACCCATAAACCTGTCATTGGGTGATGACCACCTCCCTTCTCTTAGTAACAAACTCTTTTCATTTTGTCTGTGGTTCTGCAGCATAAAGACATCTCAAGTTAAAAAGTAAGTGGAAATTAGACATAGAAACTACTCCTACACTCTGCCTAGATCACTTCAAAAATGTAGTTTTTGAGTTTGAAAAAAGGCACAGGAGTCCACGACAATAACATGTTGGTTTCCCTATGATAAAGAATATTTTGAATCTGGTTGCCATTTCTTTGGCAAATGTATAATAATGTTAATTTTCAAACAGAAATAAATGAATTCTAGAAATTAAACATTTGAAGACTGTGAATCCTGATTGTAGGAAACATTTTGCAAAGAATTGTATTGTTGAAGGTTTTCATGGACGGAATCACTGGGTTGTTGTAGGTTTTTCTGGGTTATGTGGACATGTTCTAGAGGCATTTTCTCCTGACATTTCGCCTGCATCTATGGCAAGCATCCTCAGAGTTAGTGAGGATGATATGGCGAATGTAAAGATCCCTTACCTTGCCAGCCTGGATGGCAGGGCCTAGGAGAATCAGGCCAGTTGGTTGCAGCTTTGGTGGGCCTGGCGGAGAGCAGCAGGAGCCATTTTAGTTCAGGGCAAACACCATTTTAGAGAGGGGGAGTGTCCTAGGCCTGAGTTAGCATTAGAACAGCCAGGATTGGTTCAGAAAAGGGGGCGGAGTTTAGCAAGGTTTGGAGGGAAAGAAGAGGGTTTTTTCAGTCAGTCTGTTGCTGTTAGGGATTAGAGTAGGAAGGTAGTTTAGGAGTTCGTGTCTAAGATTAGTTAAGAGAAGGCAGTTTGCCTTAGGTTTGCCAGCAAAAGAAGCTGCAGCAAACTGGGACAGCTATCAGGGAAAGATAGCTGGTTTGGTAGTTAGCTAGGCCACAGTTTAGGGTAGCTAAGCTACAGTTGTATCTTTACAGAGATTCAGTTCCTGTCAAGTGTACTTGGTTTTAAAGAGAAGAAAATCTCTGTTGTTGTAACAAAGAAAGAACAACTTTACATGTAACCATTAAGCTTTAAAGACAAGCCAGAATTCTCTGTAACCACCAAGATTTTCAACAGCATTTACTTTCTTCTGTATTTTTCTATCAATAAACTTTCCTTGATTATTTTAAAACTTAAAAGCCTGAGTCAAGTGTGCCATTCGTGGATATAGTCCCTTTCTTTCCAACCTCAACTAGGTTTCCTTTATAGAAGCAAATAAGAAGAAGACACAGTGCTTGGTGGTCCTAAAAGCCCTTTTTATTATTTAAACAGCTAGGGTGTTCCTGTACCTTTCAGTGTTGGTGGCAGCGGACGTTAATCAGAGAGACATCCCCTCATAACATTTATATTGGTGCCAGTGAATTCTTTATTTTAGAGGGACAGTTGGTGGGATTTGATTGCCCCCCTGTCAAGTTATATTAGTGGTGCCATCTACTGAGCCTTTATAATTGGTGGCAGCGATGCGGGATTGATCAATAGCGATATCTTTACAGCAAGCATCCTACCTCTGAGGATGCTTGCCATAGATGCAGGCGAAACGTCAGGAGAAAATGCCTCTAGAACATGGCCATATAGCCCGGAAAAACCTACAACAACCCATTTTGCAAAGAGATCATCAACTTATTTGAAATCTCTGTGTGCATGTGTGTAAACCAGAAATAAGTTTTAAAATACTTTATTTTTGAATAAACTAAACTAACTCATTGATTTAATGCACTTTTTAGTGGAATTAGAGCAGTGTTATTACCTGAAATTGTTTGTTTGAGGTAAACATGGTGTCCAACAGGGACCTGGAGATGAGTTCCTGGTGGCAATGTTAAACAGAATAGCCTGGTGTCGTGAGTGACATTTTCCTTTGACAGCAATTTGCATTTTCTGTAGCACAGACCTTAGAATACAGAAACAATATAATTAATTCAATTTTCACCCTATTCATTGATTTAAAAATGGAGAGGAACAGGTTACTTGCAGGTGCAGAAATAATCCAGGTATGAATTGAACACAAAATATTTTGTTCTGCTTCTGGTAGAAATTATTATTCCATTGCAAGAACCCACTTTTTGTGAGTGGAAAAAAAGCTTTGGATCCAAACCGATGTTGTGTAAAATCTATGTACCCATACACTGCTTTAACACTTTATCACACAAGCATTTTACTTACTTCTGACTTTGACAAAAAACACCCTGAAATTTATATAGTCCAGGGGAAGACAAAAATGGTTCTACTCATGTCTCCCGGTGCTACTAAAAGCAGTGATAAATATTATTATTATTATTATAAATTTCAAAAGAGGAAAGTAACAACTATATCCAAAGAGCACAAATTTAGTACTAATCCCTGTCACACAAGAAATCAGTAACTGTTGGTTTCTCATATCCGATAGCCTGAGAAGAACTGCCCTAGAGGCTATGAGGGAAAAAAAGAAATACAGGCAGTCCCTGAGTTACAAACATCTGACTCATAATTAAGAACAGGGGTGAGACAACAGGAAGTGAGAGAAATCTACCCCTCGGACAGGAAATTAACTTCTGGAAGAGTTATTATCAAACAAACACCACAGGGGTCTTAACCCTTCCCTATGCTATCCAAAGCCTGCCTGCCTGCCTGCCTGCCTGCCTGCCTGCCTCCCCCCCTCCCTCTCTATATATGGAGTTACACTTTAAAAATGTAACTCTTCAAAACTGAACTTAAGAACAAACCTACAAAAACTATCTTGTTCATAACTTGGAGACTGCTTGTAATTTTTTATAGAAAGCCTAGAAGACAGAACATCTTTGTGGCCTGCAAAAAGAAAGCTGTGGAGGTCTCCATGTGGCCCAAAAGTCATTCCCCCTCCTCCCCGAAGACCCTGTCCTTTCATGTGCTCTAGAGGCTCAAGGCATCAAAAACAGGTGTGTGCAGAAATTAACAAAACTAATTACCTCTGTCTGTGCGCTTTACAAAAGAGTTGTGACTCTCTAGCGGCTGCCCAAGGGTCTTCCAAGGCAGCAGTTCTCTCTTCGTCAGGACAAATTCGACCTTTCCCACTTTTTCAGAGACCTGTACTAAAAATATACATAGTGTTGTTCTATGCTAATAGGAGCACCATGGCCTAAAGCTAATGTAGAGCCAGGGCACTGGCAAATTCCTTCTTTCTCTTATGCTCCTGCAGCTCTTGCTGACATTCAGATACCAATGCCATACATTTCCAAAGCTCTCTAAAGCATGTTTTCAGGATACACTGGGAGGCCAGCAGTGAGGACAGGAGATTGCTCCTTCTTGATCCTAGTGATGGAGGCAATTCCATCAGCAGAAGTATCCTGTTGGATCCTGGCCAATATTTTCCTATGGTAAACACTACTGTAGAGTTCACAATCCACTGCTGAACAGCTCAGTTTATTAAAGTGTGTGGGTGGAAAATCACTAAAATGGACTCTACATGCTAATCTTCTATAATAATAGCACTCTGTGTGTGTCTGTGTGCTATAGCTCCAAATTGATTTTAATGAATAAAAATATATCTGCATCTTGCAGCCGCATTTTCATTCATTAGTTACCACCAAAATCCTCCCTGAGTCCCTCCGGGGAGATAGAGCAGAATATAAATAAAGTTCTATTATTATTATTATTATTATTATTACCACCAACTCAAAAGCACTAAGAGGGGACTTTGAAAGTAGGAGAAATTATTATCAACTACTGAATTTATTAACTGGGTGGAATCTTTAAAATGACATTTTGACCCTGGGAAAACAGATGTACTTACCTATGATATCCTCATGCACTTCAAAACTCAGTTCTGAAACAGAATACATTCTGATTTTATATACAGTAAAGGTAAAAACAAAACTCAAGGTTCAATCAATATTATTATTAGAACGTTTTTAAATAAACAGTGTTATTAAATGTGAAGGTGACTAAGTCATACAAAGCCATTTGAATATGGCATTTGGGGGCATCTGATAAGCCGAGTTATAAAACCATAAAGATCACAGCTATACTGCAATGTTTCCTTACAGTAATATATAGGCCTGCAATTACGTAAAAGTCTTGGCAACATAATGATTTCATCCTCTGGGAACAAAAGAGCGGGCCTTCCTTCTCGGTGGCTGCCTCTCAACTCTGGAACTCCCTCTCTGCTGTCCTTCCAGAGGCAGACTAAAACCTATTTGTGAATTTTTGAATGCCAGCTTTAAATATAAATGCCATGTGCATATGTCTAGTATATCAGAAACAACATTTAACAAACACAGATATAATTAACACTTTACAGGTATCATTGAGAGAACTGGTAGAATTAAAACAGCCTGGGTGCATTAATATTTTAAAAGAAATAATATTTTGCTAGTAAAGCACTCACCAATGTGTAAAAGGTATGAGTAGTCCTTCATTATGACTTCCCCTCTCAGTTTACCTTCGTGAAGATCAGCTATCACCAATTCAGGATTCATATTCTTTAAAAAGGAAGAAAACTGTCATTACAAGGGAGTTGTTAAAACTAATAAGTGGTTCTTCATTATTAACAGCACACTCTCAATAGCCATGGTGCTTCAAAGTAACACACAATCCCCTGCTGTGGAGAGACTATTCTAGATGAGGGGTTGGTTCACGATTTGGGATTAACCCAGTCCTCCTGGAGCATCAACCACAATGCCATGCCTTCTCTCCTTATTGTTTATTTATTTCTATCCTGCTTTTCTCCTGGAATGGGACTCAAAGTGGCTTACAACATATAAAATTAGCAACAGTTACATAACATAAAAATACAATCATAAGTCATGAAATATATAAACCTTGTTTTTAAAAACCCTGCACCCCTAAAACTCCAAATTACTAATACAAAACATAACTTAAAATCTTCAATAATATTCACTCCTGGTGTCCCCCATTCAAAAAGAGTAAAAAAAATATTAATGACAGATAGTATTATAAGATAAAATGTGCTGGAATTAGTCGCCTATCCTCTTGTCTTGGGTCATGCCAAAAATGGATATACAACCCTGAGAACTTCTCAGAAATTGAATCTGGTCCTTGGCTTCCTGTAAACCAAAGTTGGGGATAGTCTTCCAGATGTTGTTAAGAATACAATCCTACTATTTCTAGCTATTGGTCATCAGTAGTCTGAAAGGAGTTGGAATTATCATAATCTAGGAATGCCACAGGTGTGAAAAGCCTATCCCGCACTGATACAGAAAAGGAAACAAATAGATGATAAGATGGTGCAGGTATGATTAAATAGGCAAACAATGTGCATTCATTCAGTTCCATGTGCTTAGTGTTAACAGGATTGAAGACTTGGGGCCAATGTCAAAGACTTGGCGGGCAAGATTTTACAAAGAGATTTAAGAAGAGGAATAGGGCGCTACACTGATTTCTTAGGTGGTAATTCTATGCATATAGGACAACAACAAAGAACTGCTGGATTTGTTCAATGAAGAAAAAAACCATGGATAGGTGATATGATGAAGCTGAAGGACAAAAATCATTACCCATTTTTATTTTTAAACAATAATCCAGAAATATACCACTGCAATCCTTTACAACCAAATACAATTCTTTACCTTTTGCTTAGTGTATATGACTACAGTGACGGAATCATCTTTCTGGAACCAATTGTAACTGAAATAGATTAAGAAGAGTATAAATCTTTTTGAAACAAACAGTTTTATATGTTTTCATACAAAATTATCTTCAATGTCCTCTGTTGTCATTGGATTTGTGCTAATTGCTTATGTCTCATTCTCAGTTTTCCTCATCTGTAAAATCAGACTACTAATTGGTTGCTTTTGACCATGTTTTTGTTCAGCTCTACAAGCCAGTTTTAGAGTTAGTGTTATCCCTGATGTCTATTATTTTTATGTAATGTGCAAATATATTTGCATACATCCTGAAGAGCAGCATGCAATTTACCAGTATTTGTCCTGAGTCACCATTTCATGTTTGACTTTGGTTGGTAGGCCTCAATGTTCTAATAAAAAAAAATAGATGCCACAACCTGAGGTCTAACCATTTCAATCTAGAGTCTATGAAGTTATTCCAAAGTGTGGGAGACTGTATTATAGCACTGACTTTAGCCAAACTATAAATATAAATATTATAAATAATAATTATATAGCAGCAAAGATTTTCCTAATACATTTATGTTCGGTCCTTAAAAATCTGGAAGCCTACAGATCAAAGCAACTTAGAAAGGCAATATATTATACCTGGGAACTATGTCTTTTGAACTGCTATCCAAATTTTCACTTTTTGGAAAAGTACCTACAAAGAAAAGGAAAGTACATACAGTTTAACACATAAATGAAACTAATGAAAACCAGATACCTCATTATAGAAACTGTAAACAGATACATTCGTTTCATTTAATTATACTGATAGCAGAGATCAAGTGACCCAACCTACGTCTCAGGGATGTTGTGAGGGTAAAGGGGAGAGAGCAAAAGGAAGGATCAGATGGTAATTTAAATAATATGCTGGATTCACAATATGCTGGGTTCAAAATGTATTATCTTTTGGGAAAGTAAAAGCCCACTCTAAATAGTTCAGAACTTTTAGTTTAGCTTCCTTGGGTGTTTGAAATATTTGCTTACACTTTGACAGTCTAAGAACAAGAAAAGGCAAAAACAAGTCTCTGAACAACCTAAACATATCAGAAATAGATTATGCTTTTCCAACTACAATTAGTGGCACAGAAAATGCTTCCAGACTAATTCAGATAATTATGGAAAGGAAAGCAATTATAATGTCAACCCAAGAAAGGTATTAAAGGAGAAAGTGAAAATAAGAATGCAAGACACTTTAGCTGAACTCACATTTTTAGAACAAGATACGAATACAGAAAGGGGCAGTGGCAGAATAAATGTGGTTGGAAGCTTTCAGGGTTTTGACATTCCTGTCCTATTGCCCAGCAGGCAAAATTCTACAAAAGCCTTGGTGCTGATCTACAGGAAATTTCACTTCCCCAGACCTTTTCTGGTGGCACCATCTGAGGAGTCCATGATGGTAAGAAGTGTTTGACAGCGAAATACACTGCCTCAGAGCAGGATAGGCTCTTCTTCTTTGCAAAATTTAAACAGAGGCTGGATGTATTATTTACTTACTTGCTTCATTTCTACCCCACCTTTCCCACCCTGCCAGGGACTCAAACTTTGGCAAAATTCAATGCCACATGGACATAACAATAGAACACACCCCATCAAATTATAACAACAGTTAAAACATATGAACAATTAAAACACATAAACAATACAACAGATCAAAACCATATAAACTGCTGAGTCTTGATCTGATATTTATCCATAGTCATTTTCCAAAATCCATAGTCATTATGGAGGCTGTTAAAGTCTAATTCCATAATATCCTATTTGCCAAATGCCTGAGCGCATAACTGAGTTTTTTTCTAAAAACCAGGAGGGAGTGGCCAGTCTGATCTTGCTGGGGCGGGAGCCGCCACTGAGAAGGCCCAGTCTCTTGTTACCACCAATCACGCTTGTGATGAGGGCAGGACTGAGAGCAGCGCCTCCCCAGCCGATCTTAAAGCTCTTGTTGGCTTTGGACAGGTGCATTTGGGCAGGTAAGTTGGACCAGAACCATTTAGGGCTTTACAGGCCAAAGCCAGCACTCTGAATTGTTCCCATTCAAATTCAGCACAACTGAATTGGATGGTCATCTGTTGGGAGTGTTTTGATTGTGTCATCCTATGTGGCTGGCCCTGATTGTGTACTCCAAATCAATTCTATAGCATGAGACTTGCAGCTCTGACTCAAATGACCTTATTTTCTATTATTTAGATGCTTTCCTGTAGTATATCTTCTCTTACGCAGTGCTTTGTTTAAGCTGTGTGTTTCTATTAAATTTCCAATTTTTGGGATGGTGGGGAAAGAGAGACAAGTGCCAGAACAGAAGCAGATAGTCCTACATTTAATCCAGAAATTTAGAAATGTGAGCTAATCCCTAACTGCCCATCTCCACTTGTGTGTTGCATATTTTGTTTAAAAAATGGTGGGATCCTGGGAGCATGAAGACTTACCATTCAAGAGCTCATTCGCTTCAGGAACTCTGGGGCAAATGTCTGCAAATATACAAAAAGAATGTAGTGAACATTAACAGCAGAAAGCTTTGCAATGATGAGAACAATATCCAGACACAACACACAAATGAAGCTTTATTCATGATCTGCTAAGCTAAAGAAACAAAAGACGATGCAAAACTTCAGTTCTATAGTAATGAAACAGAGGAAGACAGACTTCACTGTATATAAGTATATTTATTGGGTGCCCCACTAGTATTGCCATTTGGAAAAAATATTATAAAGGTAAGCATTTAGAAATATGGTGTAAACAATTTTAGTATCTGAAGTGGCAAATGTCAACTGACAGTACTGATCCATCTCAATGACATTAAGAAAGTACTGTCCCATGTTCCTCCTTTTGAAAACACTTCTTTTTTTACCAAGCCTAGGAACATAAAATCAAGTTGCATGTAGCAGAAGTTACTTGGGACTGGATGGGAAGACTTTCAGTGAATCACTTCCAGCAGGAAGTCACAAAGTCAAAGTGCCGCCCTAGAGCAAAAACAGATGCCCAGAAAGCAATAAAGTGGCTAGACAACAAGAGGTTAGCTGAGGGGGAATCAATGTGACACCTACAATCTGGGAGTGGTTTAGGATGCCCTCTCCTAATTGTATCAAAGTGATAAACCTGAACTAAGGTTGCTCTGTTTTAAATCTATTTTGTTGTACTTAAAGATCACTAAGCCAATTTAGCTTGAAGACCTCCCATGTGACGAGAAGAAAACCACATCATAACACTGCAGCTGCCAAGCACGCCAAGAGCATCAGCCTCCTAGCAACGGCAAAATCCTATCTCCTGGATTCTCCACTGCTGAGCTGAAGAGACAGACAAATGGATTAAGAGAGGCGCCGAGAATAAACTGAGTCATGTTTAGTGACGTTGGCAAGCGTTTCAAAAATGAACAATTAGAAGCCAAAAGCTTGTGTGTTACACCATGTATTTGTGTGGAAAACCACTGGTTTCAGAGATGACACTAGTTAGTTTTATACATCAAAAATGTAAGACATTAAGCAGTGCTTCCCACCCCCCAAAAAATCTGAATGAAATATGTATGATGAAAGGTCTACACCACTGCTTTTTAAACTGTGGGTCACAGTCCCAAATAGGGTTATGCCTCATCTTAATGTTGGAGTTATGAAAAAATTGGCAGCAGTAATAGGTTTCTGGATACCATCCATTTACACCAGTGGTTCTCAACCTGGTTGTCCCAGATGCTTTAGCCCTCGACTCCCAGAAATCCTAACAGCTGGTAAACTGGCTGGGATTTCTCCAAAACACCTGGATACCGACAGGTTAAGAACCACTGATTTACACAAATGTGTTAGTAAGAACATGCAAGTGTGGTTTAAAAACCATCTTTGGAGATTTTTAAACAGAGGTTGGATGGCTATTAGTTGAGGGTACTCTGAATGTTATTTTCCTACATGGCATGAACTGGATGGACCATGTAGTCCATCCAACACTATGATTCTATGAATGTTTACAGTAGACTGTGCTGAAAATGCTTCAGCTGGACTCCACAAAAAAGGAAAATGGGTCTGTTTAGCAATCCTTGCAAATGCTGATTTATTATCAGTAAATGTTTGATTTTTATACCTGTTTTATATACCTACAGTATGTACCTGGGATCACACTAAAATTTCTTGGGAGTAAAGAGGAAAGCTTATTTATTTTGTATCAAAAACATTGCATAAATTAGTATAAAATGGATACAAATAGAAGGAGCACAAGCGGCTAAATATCTTTTGAACAAAAACGGGCAACAGCAATGGCAGTCTGTAGTCTCCAACAATTATTCCTCTGTACATGAGGCAGGGCATGGTGGACAAGCATACAGATGTGGAGTTGTCTGTCCTGCTCCACAGTCACACAAAGTGGAGGATACTTTTAGGTTGTGCCATTTTGCCAGGTTGGAAAGAGGAAATATTTAAACAGATGGGGAGAGTGAATGCGTTGAAATGGCCCTTCATGCTCATTGTTAGGAGCACAATTAGCAATTCTGGGGCCATTTTGCCTTAAGATATGAGGAGGGAATGAGCAAGGAGTGTAAGGGCTGCATTTTGCCCATCCCTACCACGCACCTACCAGCCAAACTGGAGCTACGGTGGCGCAATGGCTTAAACCCTTGTGCCAGCTGAACTGCTGACCTGAAGATCGGCGGTCTGAATCTGCAAGATGGGGTGAGCTCCCATCTGTCAGCTCCAGCTTCCCATGCGGGAACATGAGAGAAGCCTCCCACAGGAGGGTTAAACATCTGGGCGTCCCCTGGGCAACTTCTTGCATCAAGCCAATTCTCTTACACCAGAAGCAACTTTCAATTTCTCAAGTTGCTTCTGACACTATTTAAAAAAAAATTGCCAAGCTGGAAGAACACCCACCAGCTAACATGAACATTCAAACCTGTTTATGCTGTCTTTAAAGAAAGCACATTTAATCATGCTACCTGTAACAATAATACAGCAAGGTTTCTTTCAGAATATGATGTTCACCTTTCAAAGGAGCAGCAAAGGCCTTGAGTGCCATTCTTCCAACCAGGCACTCTTTCAACATTGACTCATAATTGACCCAGCGATGAACCTACACAAGAGAAAAGAGTAGTACTTGCCTGAAGTTTACTAAGGACAGGGATACCTGAAAAAAACGAATTCTGCTTTTTCTCCCAATGTGAACTCTAAATGTATGGCTCTTTGTTTTTAAACAGATCATGTATACCAAACAAAGGAAGCACTGGGTTGCTGTGAGTTTTCCAGGCTGTATGGCCATGTTCCAGAAGCATTCTCTCCTGACATTTTGCCCACATCTATAGTATACATCCTCAGAGATGTGAGCGAAACATCAGAAGAGAATGCTTCTGAAACATACAGCCCGGAACATACAGCCCAGAAAACTCACAGCAACCCAGTGATTTTGGCCATGAAAGCCTTTGACAACACAAAGAAAGCACTGTTTTGTGCTCTGAGATGTTTTTAGGTTTCCTTTGGTTCCCAAAGTACCAAGGAACTCTGTTGCATAAGTTATGCAGGCGGATTCCCCAATGAAAACAAGTGCAGGAAATTTAAAAGATTATAAAAGTAAAAAAAAAACCCGATGTCTTCAAAATATATAGGTTTCCACAAATATATCAGTGCACTCAAAAGATTAAAATGTAGCTTCATGAGCTAGTATTTAATTTTTTATTCCACGATTCAAAAGTGTGCTTTGCTGAATCTGAATGCATTTTCTCAATACTAATGTACAGTATATGGACTGCATTATTTTCATAGTAGTGAAATAGCTTCATCTTGAACTCATGACACAACTCACGTCTTTCCTTGTAATTTTACATCACATTAGTTATGCAAAAAAGAACTCAGTGGTATTTTAGAACTTGAATTACTCTGGCACAAGCATTCATGATTTCCAGGCCTCTTCATCAGAAGCCAAGATACTTCTAGCTTTGCTATCTGTAGCAGTCCATGTAATTCCAGGAGGGACCCAGGAGCTAGAAAGAAGTCTATAAGTTTGCTGCAGTTGCCACCTCTGTTTTGGAAAGCAAAATAGCTTATTTCTCTTCTTACTACAAAACCCCTTAGTATCTGGATTGTGATTTAATGAACCTTTGAAAGGATGCCACATAGAGCAGGGGCCAAGCTTTTTTCTGCTGCTCTGGAGTCTAGGACACAGAACAATGGATTCAAATTGCAGGAAAAGAGATCCCATCTAAAAATTAGGAAGAACTTCCTGACAGTAAGAGCTGTTCGGCAGTGGAATATGCTGCCTCTCAGGGTGGTGGAGTCTCCTTTTCTATAGGATTTTAAAAAGGTTGGATAGCCAACTGTCAGGGGTGCTTTGATTGTGTATTCCTGCATGGCAGGGGATTGGGCTGGGTGGCCCTTGTGGTCTCTTCCAGTTCTATGATTGCAAGCTGTGCTCTTGTTACCTGATCAAACAGATCTGTCCCATCAGATCCTGCTGCTTTCATTAACTCATCTTCACCGCCAGGGTGATACTCCATATATGGTGTGACATCATAAACAAGACCTGGAAAGTCAAATTAAAAGATTTTAAAATGTTTCAAGCTGGGGGAAAGTGGGCACAGGAAAAAGCTACTCATATGGATCCTAGCTGACCAAGAGCAAAATGTCAGACACTGTGTGAAGCAGAAAAACTATGCAATTCTAGGCTACATCAACAGAAGTGTACAGTCTAGATCAGTGGTTCCACAACCTTTTTTTGGCCAGGGACCATTTTGACCAGGGGCCATTCTCCAACATTAGTACCAAAAGGGTTACGAATCAGTTTTTGGTTAACTTTAGATACAGTTTGGTTATTTGGGGTGCTGATTTAGAAAACTGCATTGGATAGACCACATGTGCTCTAGTTTCTGATACAGAACATATGCCATCCAGTAGACAACATCTGTTCGGCCACAGAAAACCATATTTAATAATCTAGAGCTGATGTGGGCTATCCAATGTCATTTTCTGAATCAGCACCCCAAAACAGGCCTAAAAACGAAGACACCAAGGCGCTGCTGCTTCCAGGTGTCCCGTGGAAAGGCTCCACTCAACGGGAAGGAGGAGGAGGAGAAGCAACAGTCAAGAGGCTTGTTGTCACACTTTTCATGGGTAGTCAGCCTCTCCCCTCCCAACACCCCCATTGCCTTGGCACTATAAGAGGATTTTGCAAGACCAGTTGCTCTCGTTGCAGCAGTGTAGTAACGGCGAGGCCATGGACCATATTTTAGTTCTTGGGGACCACTGGTAGTCCACAGACCACAGATTGGGAACTACTGGTCTAGATCAAGGAAACAGTTCCCCCTTATGATACCTGGAATACTATGTCCAATTCTGGGCACCCCATTCCAAGTAGGATATTGACAAGCTGAAATATATCAAAAGGAGGGCAGCCAAGACTGGCTGGGAAAGCAAGTTATTATCTGTTAATCATAAATTGGAACTGTTGTCTTCTTTCCTGCCAAGGGTAATAAGATAGCAAAGCTATAAGGATTAACAACTAATTTGGAGAGCTGGTTCTGTTTTTTATACTTTATATATAGCATTTTAACAATTTGTTTACAAGTCGCTTGTTGTTGATTTACTTCGTAATATTCCTTCATTGTGAGCTGGTTTCTAAGGTAAAAACATTTAGGTTTTCCTCATAGTCGGAGTACAGCTGCTGATGATCTCTGAACCAGAGGTGAGGAGATGCAAGCCTAGCTTCCTTATTCTTTGTTACTTGCCCTTTCGTTCCACTCATGGCTTTTCTTATGGGGCTATTTTCGGGAACAAGAACTGTCATGTTACCAGCAGCTCATTCTTGTCCCTTCTATTTTGGTAGCTATCACTTCTAACATGTCAGGTAGGCCAGATCTACTGTGATGACACCTGTTCTCTCCATATGCATCAAAAACGCCTACATGTTCATCAATAAAAGTGCTAAAGCTTTACGGAGGCACATAAAACCATTAAGAAGCATAACATATAGCAGTGTGTCTGTGCATACATACGCTTGAATCACCTGTCAACTTATTTATGGCAACCCTGAACTTCAAAGGGTTTTCTTGGGCAAAGAATATTAAAAAAAAATGTTTTTGTCAGTTTCTTTCTCTGGAGCATTAGTGCTCCAGAAAGTATGGGTCATTTCTCAATGTATACTTACTGTTTACAGAACACTGATATAAGGCATTAGAGCAAGACTAATCTGACAGCTTTGCTTCTTGACACATTCAATTTTTTTTTAAAAAAAATCTCAATAGATTTTTGTCTTAAATATAAACAGATAATACAAATTTTGCTAAATTTTAATGCTGACCCAACCTTATTTTGGAAAGCTCTTTTATCCTGAATGCATTAACAGTGCCATCTAGTGTAAAGTATTGGAAGCTGTGTAGGTTAAGCAAATCTCTAACCTTCTAGGCAATTTCATGCACCTTTTTAAAATCTATGTGCAAAACATCTTGAGCTAACATGGGACTTTACAGCCTTCTCGGTGAAAAGCAAAAACTGGACTAATAATTGTACTCTGCCTTTCTGCACAGTAGAAGAAAACGCTAATTACAAAAATGTGTAATTGGTTAATTTACTTGTCAATAAAGGTAAAAACACTGTATAAAAGTAGCAACTGATTAGATACATTACATTGTAAGAATCATTGCAAGGAATGGAACCAGAAATCTCAATTGCATATGAACTTACTGGTTCACCCACTATAATTACTTGTACTAATGTTTTCTGTATTCAAATGGCTGCTTTTAACGTTATACATGCACCAGTGTGGATTTACAGCAAGCGGTTTTGCCTCTTCCTCATTTGTGAAGCAATTACAGCCATTGCCATAACCTCTATGTACTGGGAGAAGAGACATAAGATATTTTGGCTAATTGGTTCTCACTCTTGAATGGCATCTGAGCTACTGCTGGAATCTGACCTAAACCACTGTTTGGTTGACTAGTTCAGGAGCTACAAGAGAAATAACAGATACAAGATTATGTATCTAGAAAGTAGTCCTCCAAAAGGAAGCTAAAAGGACATTGCTCACATTCACAAAGAGACTGCAGATCAGCAGTGGGAACTGAATAACTCCTCTGACGTCATTAAATTGCAAGTCTTATTTAATTATGTTATATCTCACTTTTTTCCTTGTATGGAACTCAAGGAGGCTTACAAAAATTCTAAAGCAAGAAAAATTAAAACAAAGTCACTAAAACAAGGATTTACAGTTACAGCTTCCAGCTACTTTCAAAGGCAGAAAAACATCTCAGCCCTTGGTTTGTTCCAGCAAAGCAATTCTGTTGTAACTCTAACATTGCAGTGATACTCTGTAAACAAGATTTTTTACACAACAATGCAAAGTATGAAGTAATGTGTGACATAACCGGAAAGACAGTAAGTGTTGCATTTTGGTAGAAGAGGGAGGGAGGGAAAAATATAGAAATATTTGGAAGGTTAATGTTAAAGAAAAGGAAATACTATTGTTATGATTATGATTACAATATTCAATTAAAATATGATTATAATATTTAATTGAAATATTTTTTAAATTAAAAAGGCATTTTGGAAAAAAGGAAGCAATGGGGGAGCTTTTGTAGAAAGCTAGCAACACAAACTTTTATACCACCTCTAATTCAGCACTGTGGAAACCAACTAAAGCAAACCTAGTGTTTCCTAATAGTTTTTTTTTTTGGTTTCTCATTCAAGCAGATCTCCATCTAAAGTCTCAATTAGGATTTCTTTCTCTTTTCTTCAGAGAAAGAGAGCCATGCTGATTAAGGATGAGAGAGAAATAATGTACTGGACTTAGTGCTCCATCCAAAAGTGCAGTCAAAAATTTAGCAAGTCATATGTAAGAGGCAAATGATACCATTCCTGAACCTCAAATTGAGACAGGTATGTGAAATTAAGTTCTTGCTTTCCAAATATTCAGTTTAAAATATCTGATTTTAAAAACAAGTTATCTTGATTATATTTTAGTACTTATATATTAGTGATCTTTTGCTTGCTGAAGGACTAAAATATGCATGTTCGCTTGTAAGTGGCTTTTTGTATATGCATTCATTTCTATCATTTCTATTCTAATTTTATCAGTACAGTTTATCAGTACAGTACCCCAGCAAGCGAGAGTCCAAAAGTGGCAGGCTCAAACCCAGAACCTCAATCAATGGCTGATACCAAATGAGAGACTCTCCGCTGGGCAACACCAGAGGCACTCCAAGTGGCCAGATACTGGTCAAAGGACATTTAATCAACTACCAAGCTTGCAAACTTTGTGTTTTGTCTGTCTGTTTGTTTGTTTTGTTTTGTTAAAAATGTAATACAAATGTCTGGTTGCTCCTGACACGAAAAATAAATAAAGAGTACAGTTTCTAAAATTAAAATATTTAAACTTTTTTGTTAGCTATAATTCTTTTTCCCCTCTGTAAGTAGCATACATAGAAAATGCCAAAGGACAGCAAAAGCACCAGTATGCCCATTTAAATATTAAATGTGGTAAGACATCACATTCTTACAGGGCTAAGAGACTTACCAGCACAATGTCGTTATTAAACTACCACTAAAAAGCAAACAATACATAATCAGATATGTCAATACAATTTACCTCTTATGCATATCCAGCAATCCTCCTTCTTATTATGTTTGGCAAGCTCTTCTTCAGTCACTTCTATTAACCTTCCTTTTAGACCTGTCAGATCCTTCCCACTTTTAGTTAGCCGGATCCAGTCCATAAGACTTCGGCCTGGTTTCAAAGGGACCTATAAAGATATACGGATAGGCATAACAAAACAAGTAAATAAGATTAAAGTCTTGGTATTCTAGATGGTCTCCAGCAAAGGATCACCGCCTTGTTGTGGCGCTGGAGCTTGAGCACCTCAATGATGTCATGAGCGAAACCGTGAAGGGCCACCCAAGACGGGACGGTCGTGGCAGAGAGGTCAGACCAAGCGTGATCCCTGGGGAAGGCAATGGCAAACCACCCCAGTATCCTTGACAAGAAAACTAAATGGACCAGTACAACCAGAGATATGTCGGTATGCCATTGGAAGATGGGACTCCCAGGTCGGAAGATGGCCAAAATGCTACTGGGGAGGAGCAGAGGATAAGTTCAACTAGCCCCAGATGTGATGACGCAGCTAGCTCAAAGCCAAAAGGAAGGCTAGCGGCCGACGGTACTGGAGGTGAACGACGAATCCGATGCTCTAAAGATCAACACACCATAGGAACCTGGAATGTAAGATCTATGAGCCAGGGCAAATTGGATGTTGTTATTGGTGAGATGTCAAGACTAAAGATAGACATTCTGGGGGTCAGCGAACTGAACTGGACTGGAATGGGCCACTTCACATCAGATGACCACCAGATCTACTACTGCGGACAAGAGGAACATCGAAGAAATGGAGTAGCCTTCATAATTAATAAGAAATTCGCTAAAGCGGTGCTTGGATACAACCCAAAAAATGACAGAATGATCTCAATTCGAGTGCAAGGAAAGCCTCTCAACATTACAGTGATCCAAATATACGCCCCAACCACAGCTGCTGAAGAAGCAGAAGTAGATCAGTTCTATGAGGATCTGCAGGACCTACTGGATAATACACCAAAAGAGACATTATTTTCATTACAGGAGACTGGAATGCCAAGGTGGGAAGTCAAATGACAACTGGGATCACAGGCAAGCATGGTCTGGGAGAACAAAATGAAGCGGGACGCAGGCTGATAGAATTTTGCCAGGAAAACTCGCTGTGTATAACAAACACTCTCTTCCAACAACCTAAAAGACGGCTTTATACATGGACTTCACCAGATGGTCAGCACCGAAATCAGATTGACTACATCCTTTGCAGCCAAAGGTGGCGGACATCCATCCAGTCGGTGAAAACAAGACCTGGGGCTGACTGTAGCTCAGATCACGAACTTCTTATTGCTCAATTTAGAATAAAACTAAAGAGATCAGGGAAAATACACAGACCAGTTAGATATGATCTCACTAACATTCCTAGCGAATATACAGTAGAAGTGAAGAACAGATTTGAAGGACTAGATTTAGTTAAATGCGCAATTCCAGAGGTTAGCCAGAAGAGATAAGGAACTATTTTTAAATAAGCAATGCATGGAAGTGGAAGAAGACAACAGAATAGGAAGGACAAGAGACCTCTTCCAGAAAATTAGAAACATTGGAGGTAAAATTCAGGCAAAAATTGTCATGATATGAAACAAAGATGGCAGGGACCTAACAGAAGCTGAAGAGATCAAGAGAAGGTGGCGAGACTATACAGAAGATCTGTATAGGAAGGATAATAATATTGAGGATAGTTTTGACGGTGTGGTGAATGAATTAGAACCAGACATCTTGAGGAGTGAGGTTGAATGGGCCTTAAGAAGCATTGCTAACAACAAGGCAGCAGGAGACGACGGGATCCCAGCTGAACTGTTTAAAATCTTAAAAGATGATGCTGTCAAGGTGATGCATGCCATTTGCCAGCAAATATGGAAAACACAAGAATGGCCATAAGACTGGAAAAAATCAATTTATATCCCCATACCAAAAAAGGGAAATGCGAAAGACTGCTCAAACTTCCGTACAGTGGCCCTTATTTCTCATGCCAGTAAGGTAATGCTCAAGATCCTGCAAGGAAGACTCCAGCAATACATGGAGCGAGAGTTGCCAGATGTGCAAGCTGGGTTTAGAAAAGGCAGAGGAACGAGAGACCAGATTGCCAATATCCGCTGGATAATGGAGAAAGGCAGGGAGTTTCAGAAAAACATCTACTTCTGCTTCATTGACTATTCTAAAGCCTTTGACTGTGTGGATCATAATAAATTGTGGCAAGTTCTTGGTGGTATGGGCATACCAAGCCACCTTGTCTCTCTCCTGAGGAATCTGTATAAGGACCAAGTAGCAACAGTAAGAACTGACCATGGAACAACAGACTGGTTCAAGATTGGGAAAGGCGTACGGCAAGGCTGCATACTCTCACCCAACCTTTTAACTTGTATGCAGAACACATCATGCGATGTGCGGGGCTTGATGAATGCAAAGCTGGGGTAAAAATTGCTGGAAGAAACATTAACAACCTCAGATATGCAGATGACACCACTCTGATGGCCGAAAGTGAGGAGGAGCTGAGGAGCCTTCTAATCAAGGTGAAAGAAGAAAGCGCAAAAGCCGGGTTGCAGCTAAACATAAAAAAAACCAAGATTATGGCAACAAGAATGATTGACAACTGGAAAATAGAGGGAGAAAATGTGGAGGCCGTGACAGACTTTGTATTTCTAGGTGCAAAGATTACTGCTGATGCAGACTGTGGCCAGGAAATCAGAAGACGCTTACTTCTTGGGAGGAGAGCAATGTCCAATCTCGATAAAATAGTAAAGAGTAGAGACATCAGACTGGCAACAAAGATCCGCCTAGTCAAAGCCATGGTATTCCCTGTAGTAACCGATGGATGTGAGAGCTGGACCTTAGGGAAGGCTGAGCGAAGGAAGATCGATGCTTTTGAGCTGTGGTGCTGGAGGAAAGTGCTGAGAGTGCCTTGGACTGCGAGAAGATCCAACCAGTCCATCCTCCAGGAAATAAAGCCCGACTGCTCACTGGAGGGAAGGATACTAGAGACAAAGTTGAAGTACTTTGGCCACATCATGAGGAGACAAGCAAAGCCTAGAGAAGACAATTATGCTGGGGAAAGTGGAAGGCAAAAGGAAGAGGGGCCGACCAAGGGCAAGATGGATGGATGGCATCCTGGAAGTGACTGGACTGATCTTGAAGGAGCTGGGGGTGGTGATGGCTGACAGGGAGCTCTGGCGTGGGCTGGTCCATGAGGTCACGAAGAGTCGGAGACGACTGAACGAATGAACAATAACATTCTAGATGGTGAGTTAGCAAAGATACATTATGTGTGCATGCATGCTATTGCTGTTTTGCCATCAAATCAACTTCAACTTATGACAACACTATGAATGAATAACCCCCAAAAGGCCTACAGTGCATCTTACAATTAACGTAGGTCTATACTACTTTAACTGGCATGGCTCAATGCGATGGAATCATGGCAGTTGTGGTTTTACAAGGCTTTTCGTCTTCTTAGCCAAAGACTGCTAATGCTTTGCAAAACAATTTCCAGCATTCCATAGTTTTGCAGCATGGCAGTTCAAGTGGTGTCAAACTGTATTAATTCTAAGGTGTAGATGTCCTCCCGGTTATTAACAGCTTTGTTCTAGTTTCACAAATCAATCTATCTTTATGGTGGCTTTCTTGTTGACTTCTAATTTTCTCAGCATTATTGTCTCTTCCAGTGAGACATGTTGTCTTAACACAATGTTCCTTTGAAACAGTCACAACGTACGTTTTATTCACCTATAATCAATTTGTCTTTACAGGCAAATATATTTTAGAGACATAACATAAATAAAATAATATTTGTTGTTTATAATTAAAACAAAAAACTATATTAGAACAGAGTTGCACACAGTTTCATGCTCTCAGTAAATTGTTGGAAATGACAACCTTCATCAAGCCTTCTCTAGCAATCTGTTTGTCTATGATATTGTTGAAATATAATTATGCTAGGCAATTATTTAAGTTGTTAGAATGAATAACCAGCAATCTCTGATCTGTCAGGAAAAACAGATTCACCAGTGCATAAAAACAGTAGAGCCATAAAAATACTCTCCCACAAACCAACTTGTTTCATATCATGCACTCAAGAGGCAAAAATAAAGTAGACCTTGATGAAAATAATATATTTGTTTACTCACAACTAGAAGAAGAGATGCTGCTCTAAAGGGTTTTTGGGGTCTTCTCTAAAAGGTTATGTTCTCTAATATAAAGGTTCTCCAAAATTCTTACAGACCTTCACATTGCTTAGCAAGTAATCAGTTGGCACCATTGCCAAATGGCTTAAAAGCAAAAGATGCGTGCATGTCTGGCTCACTCACTAACAAATAACCACAACCTAATAAGTAATTCTGAATTGGCAGTTCCATGTAAATCACTTTAAACATTACTCAACTGATTTAAATACATGCCAACACAATGAACAGTTAAAGACTCATAGTCTTACATACAACAACAGACCTGTCTCTGTCATGCTTTAAATTATATAGAGCCATTTCCATTCATGATTCTCCACTTATTGTTTTGTCTTCTTTTGACTCATGATGCCTCAATTATAGCAAATAGTCTCAAAGCCACTATTTTTGTAACTTGCTGGGTTTTATAGTATCTTTTAAATCAGGGTTTTATTGCTGTTTTTTGTATAATCGGGTCAATGTTACTGTTACTGATTTTAATTTTTTTGTATATTGGTGTATTTGTATTTTGTTGAACTATTGAGTATTTTCTGTGAGACGCCCTGAACCCCTTCGGTGGCAGGATACAAATAAAGGATTGTTATTGTTATTGTTATTATTATTTTACTGACACAAAAACACAGTATGACACAGCAAACAAGATAGATATGCTGGGTTTTGTATCACAAAATCACAAGTCGAACACTTCTGAAGCATTTAGGACTGTATGATATATTTTCGAATGATGCGCGCAGATCCAAGTAAGGTGGCCTTTTGCAGTTGACAGATCATGATTTTGTCAATGTTTATTGTTTCCAAATGCCGGCTGAGATCTTTTGGCATTATTATTATTATTATTATTAGGACTTGATCAGAATGATTATTTTTCAAATATAACTTACATAAGCACTCCTTATCTAGAATTCTAAAAATATCAGACACTTCAAAATCTGAAATGGTCGAGATGGCTGGCAGAGATAGTAACACTTTTGCTTATGGGTGGTTCAATGCACACAAACTTTATTTCACGCAGAAAATTATTTAAAATATTGTCTAAAATCAACTTTACGTGTATAAGTTATATATAAAACACATTAATTTCATGTATAGATTTGAGTCCCATCTCCAAAATAGCATACTTGCCAATACAGGTAATCCAACATCTGGAATAATCCAAAACACTTCTGCACCCAAGCATGTCAGATAAGAGATACTCAGGCTGAACAGGCTTACACCATGGCACTAACTTCTAGTTTAGACATTAGTTGAGATGACCCAAGGCCATTCCACACAGTCCTAGAAGTTTCAAATGATCCAATGAATGGCAGCCAGATTGCTAACAGGAGCAGGACTCAGGGAACATACAACTCCGGTTGCACCAGCTCCAGTGGCTGCCAGTTTGTTACCGGGTACAATTCAAAGTGCTGGCTTTAGCCTATAAAGCCCTAAACAGTTCTGGCCCAACTCCCCTTATGAACCATCTAGGACCTTAAGATCATCTGGGGAAGTCCTTTGTCACAAGTACGTTTGGCAGAGACAAGAGACAGGGCCTTCTCGGTGGTGGCCCCTCAGCTGTGGAACACCCTTCATATATTAGATATTAGATTGGCCACCTCCCTTTTAACATTCTGGAAAAAAGTCAAGATGTGGCTTTTTAAAGTGTTTGCAAATGCAGAGAAACTGACACAGGAAAATGGAATGACTAGAAAATGAGTCCAGACAACGTTTTTAACAAGGAGACACTATGAATTTATATTTTATTGATTTGTTTAGTTTTTATTATATGTTATGTTTTTAATTGTATTTATGACATTGTAAGCACTTAATTTTGCCCTGTTAACTGCCTTGAGTCACCTACAGGCTGAGAAAGGCGATATACAAATACAGTAAATATATATCCCAGAATATCAAGGCAGAAAATCCCACATGTGTGTGGACTCAGATCGAGTTCAAAGCAGATACTGTGGGATTTTCTGCCTTGACATTCTGGGATATAGGGCAGAAAAAGGAAATAGCCATAAGATATCTAAATGTCCACAGATTCAACTTCCATGGGCCCACAGCATGGGGTGCCAAACTGCAGCAATTCTACAGTGTAGATGCAGCCTCCAAAGTGCTACAGGATTCCCTGGCATACTGATGCCCCAAGTTAAAGCAACCATGGCTTTGAATCCCACTTCTGCACCTGACTCCTAGCAGCGAATCCCAAACTGTGGTCCACCTTTTGTTTTGGACTCCAGTTCCCAGAATCCCCCGCCGTGGGCCACAGTGGCAGGGGATGCTGGGAGTTGAAGTCCAAAAGCCCACCTTCGCCCCCACCCGGCCCCAGCGGGGACCCTGCTCACCTTGCTCCGCCCTGCCAGGGCCACCCTCTGCTGGGACCCGGGGGCAGGGAAGGCCTGGGAAGGGGCGTTCAGCATCCTGCGGCATCCAAGGCGGAAGAGAAGGAGAAGGCGGCGCCACTTCCGGGTTCACCCACTGGAAACACCGGCGGGCGGCACTACTGAATAGGGAACAGGGGAGGCATACTGCGCAGGCGCAGAAACCGGAGCTATTTTCCCTTTGATAAGAAAGACAGGCGCTCGGGGACCGGCGTTGAACGCCGCGCGCATGCGCAAAGACAAACTCTCTCGCTCCTCTCACTCTCACTCTCTTTCTCTCTCTGGTACCGCCCCCTGGGGTTGATTGACAGTGAATCCATCAACACAGCTATGAAATGGCCACAAAAGATATGCAGGGGGGTGGGGGAGGATTTCTCTCAGGCCCTTTCCACACAGCTCTATAAAATCCACATTGAACTGGATTATATGTCAGTGTGGACTCAGATAACCCAGTTCTAAGCAGATATTGTGGATTATCTTCCTTGGCTGTGTGGAAGGGCCCTCAGATAATTTCCCCAGACTGTTTGTCTTAAATGAGCCCTTCCACACAGCCATATAACCCAGAATATCAAGGCAGCTAATCCGCAATATCTTTCAACTGGGGCTGCTTCCACCCAGCTGAATAAAATCCCATATGTTCTGCTTTGCACTGGAATATATCGCAGTGTGGACTCAGATAACCCAGTTCAAAGCAGATATTGTGGGATTTTCTGCCTTGATATTCTGTGTTATATGGTTGTGTGGAAGGGCCCTAGGTTATCTGAGTCCACAATGCCATATAATCCAGTTTAATGTGGATTTTATACAGCTGTGTGGAAGGGGCCTATGTCTCTCTTCATAAGAACCTATCTATATCTATATCTATA